ATAGGAATGGTTCCCATTGTCGGGAACCTTTTTCCATGTCCTCAATATTTCTCCTTCCTTCTGAAATTAAAACATCATGATGTTTTGTCACCATTTCAGAAGATTGAACATGAACACAGAAACACCTTTTTCTGGCAGCAAACACACACAATGACGCATGTCATGTGCTGAATGCTAATATATGCACTCCCCCATTGGTCAAATCATGAATCCTTTGTAGGACAGGGATGACAACAGTGAGGACAGTTGTGTGGGCTGTATGAAAATGTTCTGAAGCCTTTCAGGGGAAATGAAACCAGTAATTGTGTGGATATGCCACCTAAGTAGATAGCTATCATCGACTTGTGATCGTAAAGCCATATTGCGTCAATTGCTCTGTCATTAAAAGTGCTTTCATCTGTCCTCAAACAGGATTCCTGGGTGAAATTTTACATGGCGTACTATCTGCAACTTATGCAACTGAAGATGATTTTGCTTCAATAGAGCCTAGTTACTTCTGTGCTTGCTGACAGTTTTATGTCCACATGTAATGCAAATGTGAGATTTTTTTTTAAAAAAATGCTTCAATATGAATTCTCTTGAAAGAACTGGGTTCTGAGTAGGCAAGGGGTCTATTAAAGCCCAAACTGATAGATGTTAACCACACGGACATTAGTTTCTACCCCACAATATTGGCAACCATGTTATTCCAAGCCAGCAAAGTACCTTGAGGAACTCAATTTCCCACAGATACCTCAGGGCATTTAAACTCATCCAATTTAATATTCTTCCTTCAGGAGTACTGAAAGGCAGATTCAAAAATATCTCTTAAAGTAATAGAAGCTGTCCGTGTGGCTCAGGTGGCAATGAAACATTCCATCCTTACACTTTTTATAAAGATAATCATAACAATATATTGTTCCTGATTAGGAAAACTCCTGATGGCCTGAAGACAGCTATATTGGTACTTCTGGACAATCAAGAATGAAATATTATAAATGAATATGCTACTCTGTCTGTAAGTCCAGCTGCCAATTTATAGCCAGGTAGTTTATGGTTGTGCTTGAACTAGATATTATGCTAAGACTCCTGCTCAGGGACTCTTGTATTGTAAATTATGTGTGCCTTTCAGTTGTTTCCATGAAATTTGGTTTGTAAATGTAACATTCTGTCTATTTATGCGACTATGAATTTCCTCTGTGAATACATGGAGTATCTAAACGTGAGGAACATTTAACCTGGCATTCTATGAAATTTTATAGCATTTATATCTACTGTATATATATACAGCTAAATAAAATTAAGAGTTTCCTATTCTTCCTGTCAACAATGGAAGGGAATGATTTCTACTATCCTTTTCTGCCTCCTAGGTGCTCTGAGGAATAAATCTATTTTGATTTGTGAATTCCTTTGCAAATGGCCTACATGGTACATTTGTATTAAAGTACAAACTAAATATATTTCATTCCTGCCTCGATTTAGGGTATGCATTTGTCCAATTTTAGTTCATAAACATACTGTCCAACTCTTACGATAGGTAGGTCTACATTTCAAGAAGGTTATGAAAAGAAAAATGTCAGACTTGAAGGAAGGTGGTGCAGTGGTTAGAATGCAGTATTGCAGGCTAACTCACTGCCAGGAGTGACCTGCTCAAGATTTACTCAGCCTTTCATCCTTCCAAGGTCGGTAAAATGAGGACCCAGATTGTTGGGTGCCAATGTGCTGACTTTGTAAACCGCTTAGAGAGGGCTGTAAAGCACTATAAAGTGGTATATAAGTTTAAATGCTATTGCTATATAAAACATGTGTGAGATTCTTATTCTCATTTATTTCATTTCTATGTTGATCATTTTCTTCTAAAGAAAATGTGAGATTAGCATGAAAAGATAGGGAATCAGGTGATGCTTATTGCCTTAGAATAGTAATAATCAATGCAGTTGTTTTGGAAAAAGGATGACTGAATTTAAAATATATTGCACAGCTAGATTAAACAATTCCATTTTTGTCCTCAGCAGGAGACAAAACTGCAAACATATATTTGTGTGTATATGTTCTCTGAGAAACTGGCAGAGAAACCACTATCAAGCAGTTACTCTTGTCAAATATACTAATTCAAGTGGGATTCCAGAATGAATTTCAACATGCTGGGTGATAGTTTTTCTCTCTTTCCTAATACAGAACATTTTCTATCAAAAAGGGGTTTCACTTATCAACCTGATTTTTGATGATCAGTGAATTATTTGCTCAAGTGGTTTGTTCCTGCATTCATATTAGCAGCATGAAAGTAGTAATTTAAGAATCAAGTAACTGAACAAAATTTAACCATGGAATAATTATGAATAAATAGCTGTTTCACAATATGCATGCTTCCTTAAGATGCATCTTATATTGCAATTAAAGTATTAATTTAGATATCAAAGCAAAGCAAGCTCTCTATTGTGATGGTGGTACATTTAAAAATGGCCATCTGAAAACCAAGTGAAGAAACATCTCATGTAGAATGGCTAAATTTGAGAAATAGCTCATAAGTCAGTTCTCACATCACCCATATAGAGGCAAAGACAGAGTCAGACTAATGAAAGTAATGGTGTTACTATTCGAGTCCCACCCCTTTTCTATATACATCCCAATGTTGCTCTCAGACCTCAAAAAGGGAGGAGCTTGCAGCACAATGATGAGCTCAGTCTTGTACATGCTATTACTTAACTTAAATACACGAGACTGCAGTCCTAATCTCACAATTTCATACTAAGAATTCAAATAAATTTACCCTATTACACTGATATCTTCCTTATGAATATATGTCAAGGCAGAGGGGCTGGAACAGGACTTCAGCATGTCCCCCTAAATTTATAGTGCATTTTTATCACTTGAAGGACATTCATTAGAAGAACAATAAAAAAATCAACTATTTCTCTGTTATTTCTCTTGTGTGACCAGCATTTTTTAAGACTAGAAATATTATTTATACTTACAGAGTATCACTTGTGCTTATGATGTAGTATCTTTCCTAAAAAGTATTTCAGAGAAAATAATGGTGTTTTGATATGCATCAGCAGCTAACAATCACAAATAACACCAACATCATTATTCTCTGGACAAACTGGATTTTAACCAGCTTTTTTCAAGGCAACTAGCCTTCCTTTAAAGAAGAATTCATCATTTCTCACACTCAGCAACTCACCTGCCCTAGGAAACAGAAATGGCTAGGAGAGTGTGGGATCAATTTCCCCTTTCAGTATTGTTTCCTTTTTAAAAGTTCAGTAATCTTTTATTTTTACTGACTTTAATTCTGTAAACCATCCAAGATAGAAAGTGGTCTCTCTTAAACTCTCCTAAATAAACATGAAAGAATATCATTTTAAATTGGAGACTACAGACCAAAGGAATCCTAGATAGTATTATAAGACATACCAATTTTTATTATGCTAAATCTGCTTGACAGTTTAATGAGCTTTGATGCACTTCAAATTTTTTGGACTGAACTGCCATTCAGCCTAATTTTGGAAGGCTAGTTTAATTAATGTAACTGACCTGAAAAATCTGCTGTGTTTTTAGCATCTATATCATTAAACTGATCATACAGTTAATTTTGGGCTAGACTTTACTTTGCTTTATTTTAAATTTCCATATACCGGTAGTCTGCTTTCTTTTCAACAGTGTCTAATCAGTAACTATCAATTTATTTGCATAATTATTTTCTTTTTTTTCAGTTTTAACTACTTATTGATATATGAGTAGACCTGCCCTTTATTCCATTAATTTCCTTAACAATGTTTGAAATTTTGTGAAAGGCACAGATGGTTTGGCTTCACTAAGCCAACTGTGCTTTTATCAAGAATTGTCAAATTGTGGATTTTCAAGAAAACAATATTTTTTCAATCATATGCTAGCTGATACCCTGAATTAATTAATATGAAGTCAATATTTCCTATTTTTGAAGAAGGTTATTATTTATACATTATATTTCTATAATTATAAACACTGTTAGAAGAATAGTCATGCCTAAACTTCAACTTTCCCCTAACTGACTGATGTCAAAGAGAGATTCTTTTGTTCAATATTGGCACGATGCTGGCTAATTGCCAGTCTTCTCATATGGAAAATAATATACATCATCCTTTCCTGGAATTTTTCATTTGATTTATTTAAGAAACACCATAATCCAGTAGTTGGATTCAGCCAGTTTGCCCCACTTCGGCAGAACCGGTAACTAATTTTTTGTTGCCCAGGCCCAGAATGGACTTCCAGAAGCAGCATCCACACAGAGAACTGGTTGTTCACATATTTGAATCCTACCACTGCCATAATCCCCAAAAGTACAAAAAAGGCATGTTTCTGGGGTGGCAAAATCCAATATTTTTAGTGCCAAGGTTATATGATCTGAGTCCTACATGAAGGAAAGAAAAAGACAAGGTTCTCTCTAGTCTAAAAATATTCTAATTATACATTATTCAACTGTGCATGTTCTGATACTAAATAGAGCAAAACAGAGGCTTTGGATACCTGAGATGTACAGAGCTTTAAATTGCTAAGTGGCTAGGTTCATAGAGCATTAACAAACTAAAAGTTGGATGGTTATGACTTAGTGCAACCAAGCCAACTATGCCTTTATTATCAAGCCCATAGTTAAGGAAATACAGTTTTAATAACTCCTCGACTTGCTAAAAAAAACAAGTCATTAGTGGAACTAAACTAATTCTACACTATTATTTTGTTCTACCAATTGTAGTCCAAAAATATTATTTTTATGAAATAGTCTGAATGTTTCCCTTAATGTTTTAAATCAGCAGTTCCTTCTTTAAAATGTCTTATAATAAGGTTTTTTTCTGTTCTTTTTCCCTAAGTTTAGTCCACACTATAATTATGTGAAATCAATGGTACTTAATCATTGGCTTCAGCCACAACCAGATTGCATCATTTGCTCCCTTTAAGATAGTAGCACAATACTCGTGAATGGAATACTTAATAATAGAGCATCTTGAAACAGATATATACAATTACCCATTGATAGGAGGTACCTGTAAATGATACATGCGGTGTTCTGGCAAGTGCTGCAATTGTTGAGATCTTGGCCAGTGCGATAGAAGTTCCGTCTGCAATAAACAATAGCTGCTATGATTTATTTATAAAACCGGCAACTCTACATTTATTTCCTGGATATTCTATGGTCACTTTCTTCTATAAATATTAAATTTATTATAAGGATTTTGGTTTTAATTTGGCAAAGATTAATTGCAATTCTAATTCTGATGGGAATAAGCTCACAAAAGTATTGGGAATGGATATCCTTCCAAGAAAGTCTGCATTGGATTATATTATCATTTGCTAGGGAGATGGATTCAGATGGTCTTTTTCACTGACATGGAAAAAGTCTTGACCTACTTTTAAAAGACATCTGATGGGGAAGAGCTGGGAATGAACCAATGATACATTATCTTTTTATAGTACAGATAGCCCTCGACTTACAAAAGTTCATTTAGTGACCATTGGAAGTTATAACGGCACTGAAAAAAGTGACTTATGCCCATTTTCACACTTGTGACTGTTGCAGCATTCCTATGGTCATGTGATCAAAATTCAAATGCTTGGCAACTGACCCATATTCATGACAGTTATGGGGTTATGTGATCACCTTTTGCGATCTTTTGACAAGCAAAGTTAATGGGGAAGCCAGATTCACTTAACTGTGATACAAATGTAATAATTGCCACACTTAACCACTGTGGCAAGAAAGGTCTCAAAATGGGGCAAAATTCCCTTAACCAGCATCTTGCTTAGCAATCAAAATTTTGGGCTCAGTTGTGGTTGTAAGTTGAGAACTACCTGTAATTACTGGAATAAAGTGTGGCAAATATTATGCAATTGTCATCTGTTGGTAACTTTTTTTGTTAGGTTTTTATGGGAACCCTTGAGATGCTTCAAGCATAAATGCAATTATTCATTAATTTGTCTATTATTCATTCGTGCTCATAATAATAATAATAACTTAATCAAGTGATTTAGAGTGGCTGCTTTGAAAAGTGGCTAGTTCACTGAAGGTTCAACACAACTCTCAGTAGACATTATGACTGTGAATGCCTGCATATATGTCTGGTTAAAAACAGCTCTTGAAATTTATATGAAGCACAGATTAACCTTGACAATTTAAAAAAAACCCACTAGGGGGAATTCTAAAAGTCCACAGGTTTCTTATGTTTCTGCATTTACTGCATCCTTTTCTGCACCATAATCTTCCTAATTCATACAGTTTTTATTCTGGAATATGAATAAGCATCTTAAACTTTTTCAAGATGGCACATGGTCACCAAATATTTTTATTTTAGTAATATATTTGCTGCTAGTGGACCATATTATTACAATCCAATTCTAGTCAAAATAATTTTAGGGAATAATCAAGGCTTAGCTTGGCATACATCCATCAAGATCAAGAATCATCAAGGGAGAAAGGCAGTAACTTGGACCTCTTTACAAAAAAATGACCTCCATGTGCAACTTTAGTGAGATTCTCTGCCTGAAGAATAATAATCAACCAGGAGTTGTTGATTGATTGTTCAGCCTCAAATGAATTCCTGACTGCTTTCTGAGGAACTCATCTTGCTCCTTTTCTAATACAATTACATTGTGCTACCATAAAAGTTTTCAAGAAACCAAAGTGTTGAGCTTTACTCTTTGTAACTACTAGACAAGTATGTGTTGTTTTCCTTGCGACAAAACAGAATTTGTCTGCCATTGCCTTCTGAGTTTTTCAAAAAAAAGTGTTATTTTCCAGACTAATTTAAGTCCTAGGATTTCCTAATGAACTCCTGTCCATGTGCTAATTAAATTTGACCCTGCTTCATTTTTGGCACACTGGTCAAGGTCTGCTGGTCCTTTTGTAATACTTTTGGATTACACTGCTATAACATTGTTAAAAAGACTCCAAGAGAATGTATGTACCTCTCTTTGTGTGTGTATTTGTGTGTGTATGAGAGAGAGAGAGACCCACACATGCCTTTGAATCAGTGTTGACTTCTGGAGACTGGCTGAATTAGTTTTTGTACTTTTTTGGGCAAGATTTCAGAAGTGGTTTGCCACTGCCTGCTTCCTAGAGCTGAGAGAGGGTGATTGGCCTGACATTGGCCTGCTGATTTTGTGTCTAAGGCAGACAGAACTAGAAGTCACAGTCTCCCAGTTTCTAGTCTGAAGGCTTCACCACTACATCAAACTGTCTCCTGAATACCTAATTAAGGAAGCAGAAATCTATAGCACACTAAAATAAACTGTTAACTGTGCTGAAGATTGTCTGTCCATTTGTCTGTCTCTGTCGTGATATATTTTGGTGGATTCTCCTTTGTGTTGTTCTATAATTATTATGCACATGCAGATGAACAAAAATGCATATACACATATTCAGCACTAAGGAAAAACTAGTTCAGTAAATAATTGCTTCCTTTATTCATAAAACAACAGATGAGAGTTCCAAGAATACATTGGGGACAAAGCATTAATTCTTAAAGAATGAGTATATTGTCTATGAGACCAAGTTGGCTTTGGACCATTGTTGAACTATTTTATTTTCCTGTGTGGTTTGGGTTTGTTTCTAGCTGAGACAAATTAATATGTTAATTACAGTAGCATAAGCTTATGATAATGTAAGAATAGTTGTTGTATTGTTCCTTTGCAAGGGACCGTTTTCACTATCTAAATCTAAAAACTGTTAGAATTATGACTGCATCAGTGAAGACTGGAGTTGGCAAACATGTTTTGGAGCTATTATGGAATTTCACTAGTTGTTAAAGACTACTGAAGCATCTCTGGTCCTGAACTTAGGCAATTAGAATGGCAGTAAACCTTGCCTTTCACACTAATGAATCATTTTATGGCTATTAAGTTCCTCTGATAGATACAGAAATTGAAATTGATATTGTTTGTGCATTTCAGGTTGTAATTGCTTTGACAGTATTTTTAACATTTAGAGCAAATGTCATGCTTCCACACCTTGTACCTCACGTGCATCCAAATACAGATTATCTTAAATGAGATTAATTCAGAGACATTCATACAGTATTATGAAAGGCACCCATAGCCAAATACACTGGGATAAATGAAATTAAGTTAGACTTGTATACTCTAGGTAAGAATTGCCCAAAAGCAAAATATAGGTTGTTTAATAATAGTTAATATTTTTCCTCAGTGGTTTTAAATATTTAAAATATTATTAGATATTAGAAAAAAACTTCCTTGTCAGAAGTACAGATTTAGTGCTGGTTGGTTAGGACAGTAAAAAATATGGAACCAATTTTGCTTCTTCTTGAATATGTAGGTCATAGATTTTTTCCTCCTGTCCCTATAATGAAAGGGTTAGAGTAAATGTTTCTGGCTGAGTGGAACAAATATGTTAATTGCAGTAGCATGACACCCAATGAGCATGAAGTAGTTTATTATAACAGAAGCAGTTTGAAAATTAGGGGTACCATGACATTCACAATAATTAGGAAATTTCTGTAATGTTCCCCTAGAGTGAATTAAACTCCTTCTGTTAAACATGGTTCTTGTTCTGTCTGGACAAGCAGACTATTGCCTTGTCCAAGCAGAAGATCACAGTTTGGCAATGAACTAACTATGTATAAGCCAGGATTGTGCACTCAAGACCGGATCACTGTTAGAACTCATTGTAACAATGAAGGACTCTTCTTCAATGGTCTTTTTTGCTCACAGCAACAACTCCAGCCAACCTGAAGGGTGGGCCTTTTCTACTTTTTGCACAAAGACTATGCCTTGTTAATAAGGTGCATCTCACTCTGGGCACTCAGAGTGGACAGGGGAACTCAATATTTCCATCCTGAGGATGAAACTCAGGAAAAGCTGCTTTTAGAAGTTTGAGAAGAGGAAACTAGACAACTGGATTTCATGGCTTTTGATCATGAGCAGGAAGTTGGGGCTGTTGAGGAATTACTGCTATGAAAATCCAGCCAAATGACTCAGATTTGCTCACTCGCTCCTGAGTTTGAGATGTAAATTATTTTCTTTTGTAGGTTTACACTTTTTTTCTTTTATGTGATTTTATTCATGTGATTTTTTTTTATTTTTACTCTTCTTATTTGATACATTTCATTTGATATAACACATCATTATGTTTTGGAATATGTGATAAATCATTCACAGCTATTAAAGAAGTTTCTCTTTCATTTTTGGGGGGAAGCTATCAATGCTCTCCAAATTTTGAGAGGTTCTTTGAAAAAAAAATCTTTAAAAATTGGTAATATGAGTTCCATCCATTTAAAGCAATCATTTGATTGAGTAGCTTGCTTTCTGGAAGATCCATTTCAAAGTAAGTTTATCATTAAAAAGCTGGTATCTTTAAAGTGATTGGTATTACTGATCCATCAGTATGCATCCTTAAGAAAAGTAAACCAATTTAAACTTAGAAGCACCCACATAATTAATCCCAGAATTCTTGATTTTAGAAGCAACAGAGTTTCCTGAGATAGCAACAAATAATATTATATGTGAAAGCATATTTACATCTTGTAATAACAGCATGCTAACTTCAAATGGATATTTTTTTTACTGTACCACATAAAAGGATCAAGACCTTTAACCAAATCTAGTTACTTTTTCATAAAAAAGTGGTGTAAAACATACACTCTTTTTAGTAATAAATTGAGTAGCTTTGTAAGTGGTAAGGCAAAAGTTTCATGGAGTTCTGTGTCCTAGCATAATAGTGCCCTACTTGAAGTTGTCAATACTTATAGCCAGTAGAATTTAATAATATCTTGCATATCATTTGCCATGTATATTCAGTAAAATGAATATAAAGCAGAAAGGCAATGCCTTATAACAGGGGTAGTCAACCTTGGCTCTTTTATGACTCGTGGACTTCAATTCCCAGAATTCCTGAGCCAGCTTAGCTTAGCTGGCTCAGGAATTCTGGGAGTTGAAGTCCACGAGTCATAAAAGAGCCAAGGTTGACTACCCCTGCCTTATAAACATCACTTATAATTTAAATTCTTAGATACAGATTGAATTAAGTAGATATATATGGAACCATGGTTATATGTGTGGCTATCTAAAGAGAAGGCCTGATTCAGACACTACCACTGCTACTAACTTTATACAATGATCTTGAGAACACTCTTCTCCTTTTACCAGGATTTAGCAGCTGAGGAAACATTTTTTTAAAAAAATGGGGGGGGGGGAGGAGATGGCCAATTTCAGGGTTTTTAATATGTTTTTGCCAACAAATCAGGTTCATTCTAGTCCCATGTATAATTTAGCACTATCTGAATCAGAGTGAAAGAGCCTAGGAGAATGAAACCTTCTTAGACTAGCAAAATTTTAGCATCTCACCTTTACTTTAACATTGATAAACCTTACAAAAAGTTTCCATAAAATTCATGCTGAAGAGGCAGCTGAAAAGATTATTTACAATGGAGAAAAAGCAGCATAGAAATAGCACAGAAAATGTGATTTTGCTACCAATTGTTACCTAAGAATATATATGAGAGTATATATGAGAGTATATATGAGAGAATATATATGTAAAGCAGATAATGTTCTCTTTAGTTAGTTTGAATAAAGTAACTGTAAATATAAGACACAACATACCCTTCATTGAGGGCTCTGGCCTTTTCCATGTCTTGAATTACATTCAAGAGGACTTTAATCTTCTCCTGGTTTGACAGCAAAGATTCCTCCACGGACTGAAGTCTGCCTTGTAGGGCACATAGTTCGCTGTGTGCCAAATGAATTTGATTAATTTCTTTAATCTCTTTTTCCCCCGATTTTGTTTCAGCCCCTGAAAGATAGGCATTTATATGAAAGCCTTCTAAGCAGTTGTTGTACTGTGGCACTTCGGTATTAGTGGAAATGTTTTCTGTTACAGTTTGACAAGAGGGAATAAGAGGTGACACGCTGTTGATAGTGAATAATGTCGTTTGGTTGTCATTCATCTGTATCTTAGGGCCAGTGTCTACTTGCAATTGTACTGACTGCTGAGGCTCTGGGAGAGAGCAGGGTAAAGGATTGTGGTGAAACTGAAACAATGGGAGAACGTTTTCCTTAGCACTGATATCATTCTTAGATAGCAGCTCAGTGTAACTTTCCTCTTCACATGAATTCTGACCCATTTGAGCATCATTACAGTTCTGACTTACACAAGTCAGGTTTTCAGACTCCACCAGCATGGAACATATTCCCTCGGATTCCCTCTTAGTGGGAGAAGGATCAGTGGAGCTCCTTAAGTCCACTTGTGTGTCTGGATAAATGGAAAAATTGTCTAGTGCAGAACCCAGGTGTGTATATTCAGGGACCTGGGTAGAAACAGTGGCTGTTTCTAATATTGCAAGTTGATCAGAACCCAAATGGACAGGGCCATTGCTTTGTGCTTTAGGTACTCTTCGGAATAGAGTATTTGCTGTTGCTTTTGGCCCATCATTTAAACGCTGAGCGATACTCAAGTAAGAGAGACTAGAAGAGATAATGTCCTGTTGAGAAAGATTGCCATTAACTTGAAAAGTATATTCAGACTCTTTTGGCATTTCTGTTAGAGACTTGCTTGTTGTAATTCTTTTCTTTTTAAACACTGGAAAATGCTTCCTGAGGCTTGGAGAAGTCTGTATGGCAATATTTTGTAATCCTTTGCAAGATGGTGGAAAACAGAGTGAATCGTTTACTAAGTTATGGGCTTGGGAGGTTTGTATTTTATCCAATACACATGGATCTTGGGTATCTCCTGCCTCCAGCTCTGATTCTGCAACTGTTGGGTTATCTGCTCCATCCTCTTTAAATCGGACTTGTTGTGATTTGCTCCTGCGATGGTGTGGATGTCTTCTAAAATCAACTGAATCCAGGCTGTTCCGTTTCAGCAGGACAGGCCTCACTTTGATGCCTTGCTGAGCCATTGAGTCGCAATTCAACATGTGCAGATAATAGGTTTCTTTGCGACCCATTTCATTTGGTCATTTGAACAACACTGGGCCTGAAGCCAGCCAATCGAAACATGTATTGTTATTCAGCGAATAATTTTTTTGCTTGGTTTGGTCTTAATTGTGAATGTTTGAGTTAGCAGTTTCTCTGCTTCTTCTTTATTATTCTTTTAGAATATTATTTATCACTTAAATAGTAAACATATATAGCTGATACCTCCTATTTTGTGTTTGCATAGAGTGTAAACAACAAGCATAAAAACAGTTTGTGGTACTTGCCTCCCTGATGCATAGATTTGTGAGAAAAACAGATCCATCAATAGTAAACCAATTTTTTTTGTTTAAGTTTGTTTCCCCTTTCTGTCCCATCTTCTCACTTTTACAAATAAGTTTATTCTTAAATATCTGAATGGAAGCCAGTGCGTTGAACCCACATAAAAACAAAGCATCCAACAGGATTAACTGGAAGAAATGTATTGAAGTACTGTAGGTTTCTTGATTTGATTTATGCAGATATTAGGTTAAGTACATCCGAATGGTTAAGATACAAACAAAATATTTTTGGTCATTGAAGATCAGTTTTTATGGTAAAATGTACACTTATGGCCTGGAAGAAAAAGAAGAAAAAATAGTCATTACTGGAAAGTCATATATATGTTTTTAATGTACAGTATTTAAAAGTAACATCACAGTCTTTTCCTAAATGCCCCCATGTCTCCTGCATTGAATTTTCACTGGATAACTGGAATCAGATTTAGTGGTTCAATTATTATTGCTTTCTAGGGAAAAGGAGAATGACTGTCTTTTAATAATAAATAGTCAGCTCATGTAACATTGGGTTTAGCCTTTACTTTTCACAATTCATCAGATACTCAAACTGTAGAAAATACAGCAACAAGTGCAAAGAAGAAAGAGATTGCTTCTTATCTACATAAATAGAAGTATGCAGTGTTCTTAGAATCCACATTCACAATTAAATGATTTTTGTTTTTCTAATATTCTATGACCATTTGGCTTTTCATTCTCATGGGCATGTGTGATATCAAGTAAGTTACTGCCTAGGTAGTTATGGAATTAGTTTAATTGTGTACTGTCCAAGTGACCTCTCTATATTATGCTAGAACAACTTCCATTTTTTTCATCTCTTTTCCTCTATTTTTCCTTCTTTTTTCAAAACAGATGCTTTCCTAATAAAATGCCAGAATTGTTTTCATTTTTAGAGTATATAGCAGAAGTTGAAATCCTAACCTGAACTTTGCCGAAAATTGTCTTGTGGGAAAATAAATAAAGGTCCTAACTTTTCAGTCTACTTTTTTTCTTTATGATATGTAAATCCTGAAACATTCATGCTAACAAGATGCTAGTGCAGCATAGCGCCAAAGTTTTCCAGTAAAATTAAAGTGTTTTTGAAGTAAAATAAGACAATTATTATTATTATTATTATTTTATTATTAATTAAACTTTTACCCCGCCCTTCTCCTTACGGACTCAGGGTGGCTAACAACCAATAAAATACAAATACACCCCAAGACACCCCTTAAAACTTGGTTAAAAAGAAATATTTAAATTGGCTATAATTAATTAAAAATGTTTAAGAACCCCACTAAAAAATTTCCCCTTAGGCCAGTCCTGCTTGCTGAAATAACCATGTCTTGAGGGCGCGGCGGAAGGAAGGGAGATCCGGAATCACCCGGNAAGGGGAGCCCCATGTAGAGAGCGTTACAGTAGTCCAGGCGGGAGGTGACGAGAGCATGGGTGACTGTGCGCAAGGCGTCCCGGTCCAGGAAAGGCCGCAACTGGTGGATCAGGCGTACCTGATAAAACGCCCCCCTGGTCACGGCCGACAGCTGGTCTTCCAGTGTCAGCCGTGGATCCAGGAGGACCCCCAGATTGCTACTCCTTGAGGAATAAACACATGCACACTTCTGTCTTTCTCTTTCTCTCTATCCCTCTGCCCACAAAACAAAATAAAATTAGAACATTTGGTCATGGAACATGAAGATATCTAAAAAAAATGTTGGTAGGTTCCATGAGAAGCCCTAGAGAACATTGCTATCAGGGTCATGACCATTCTCACCCCAGTACTCTTGAAAGACATTCAAAGCAAAACCACTTTGCTAAACCTTTCCAGGACAGATTATGAGCCATTTCTGGATCTGTTTTGTGCAAAGGTTCATGTTTAAACCAGGAAAGTCTTCTGTGTGGATAAGCTGCAATCCTGATGGTTAACAGCTTTAGGTCATACCTTCATATTTTTGCTCAGTTACCTCATTTAGCCAGGGAGGTACTAAAGGAAGGTGCAGAGAAGAAAGAAGTGAGAAGAAGAAAGAGGTATAAATTCCTTTATCCTCTGTAAATTAAAATTGAATATCTAAATATCATATCTTTCTCCTCCAAGAGTATTTCTCTTATCATATTTGAAATTTTCTGAAATTTGGGTGTGTTATTCAGTACTTTTTTCCTTCTTTTTCCAAGTTTTAAAAACAAAGTCTCTATGTATAAATATGTACATTGAAATATTGATGAGAGCAATGAAATGGTCTTGACTTCTTATAATTTCATATTGTAGCTTATTTAAAAGCAATAATATCTGTAAAAGAAGTTATAACCTTGCCTTTCATGTAATTTTTGTACGAATTTATTTCCCTTCTTTTTAATGTAAACAAAAGTATCTGTGCTAGCAAAACCTCTGCTTGACTGGGCACAAAAAGACCATATTGAATCATTAAAGCTAGACAAGCAAAATTTATCATGTACATTTTGTGATTGCATTTTTACATCAATTAATCTGTATCTCTCTCTCTGTCTCTCTGTCTCTCTGTCTCTCTCTGTCTGTCTCTCTCTCTCTCTCTCTCTCTCTCTCTCTCTCTCTCTCTGTGTGTGTGTGTGTGTGTGTGTGTGTGTGTGTATGTATGTATTTCTAATTGGATATTTTTCATTTTGACATTAAATATGAATATAATAGCGTTTGGCTGCCAGGATTGTCCAAATTAATATAAACTAATACAATAACACCTTAGAGACGAAAACAGTTTTACTCTTCAGCAGTTAATTGAGGGCATATCACTGCTAACTTCAAAAAGCATACCCAAGATTAAGACAAAATATTTTAATATTTTATGCCTCAAAATATTTTATACTGCCTTCAAACTAAACAGGTTGATCATACAATGTACAAATATATCAGTTCACAATGTTGCTTCAGAAAACATATGTATTTTATGCTTTTTTGTATTGACTACATTATCTTTGCTAATATTTAGATTGACTCAACCTTCCAGCTTTCCGAGGTTGGTAAAATGAAGACCCAGATTGTTGGGGGCAATATGCTGACTCTGTAAACCACTTAGAGAGGGCTGTAAAGCACTGTGAAGCAATATATGTCTAAATGCCACTGCTATTTATAAAAATTTCATGTTAAATATGTGTTCATTTAGAATTGGCCATGCAGCCAATGCCAAGCAGCCAATGATATAGGCCAAAATATGAATTTTAATGAAATACCGCTGTTTACAGGTTCTCTCTGATTATGTTATTGGCATGATAGATATGCTAAAATTTGGCATGTATGCTAAACTTGTATGATTTGTATGCTAAAATTTATAATAATCAGATTTATGAGTCCCAGATACTATCAGTAATGCAATGAACAATGTCTCTGAGCACCCACATACTGTATGATTGCTATTTGGGAGATAATTATATTTCTCCACTATCTCCATAATACATCCCATAGTACCTCAATTTGAGCCAAGATAAAAAAAAATCTCCTAGTATATATGAAATTTGTAGTATGTGATAAAAGTAGCTAGGAACTGTACACAGAAAACCTATAAGTGTGCCAAAATAGAAATGTCATGTTTCTGATAGATGAAACTTATCAAAAGAACTTCGAGGCAAAAATTCTTCCTTAAAGAACATTTTACTCAAGAAACAAAGTATCGGCACTACATAGTTGAACCCCAAAACTAAATTCCCTCCCCCCAGATACAAAGTGCAATTCCCACCCCCAATAAGCTGTCATAAATCACGTTCTCCAATTAGCCTAAAACACGGGCTTTCTCCCTAGCTCCTCAGTCCACCAAAACATTATCAGCTCATCCTTGGGTTCCCACAAAGCAGCATTATTGTTATGGCTAACTGAGCTCAAGCTTTCATCCCAACCCCCAACCCCCTTATGCACCTGATTTTTAAATACCAGAAAAAGCATGTTAAAAGCAAAGAGAAAATGGCTGCAATTTTCATCAGTTATCAGAGCGGGAACATCCAATGTTTATAGTGTTGACAAGAAATTTATGATTTTAGCCCTCTCATTCTTCCTGATCCATATCAACTTCTCTCTTCTTTCTCTACATTTACTAGAGATATTGGCTCATTTATTGATAAAAGCATTTGATACTTTTTTGGACTCTATTGGGTCTACTGCCCATCTAAATGCTGTCAAGGAGAGGACCAATTTCATTTCCCACAACATGACATTTCCTTATTGACGTGCCACAGAAAAATTGCACATTTTATTGATGTAATCTTTCTAACATTTGCTGCATTAGATTTGCTTCACATAGTGGACTAGGTTACTTGTTCCAATAGATGGAAATGCAGATAGCCATTAGTTCATTCAGCAAACCCATATGTGACAACTTTGATAGACTGTCTTCTTTAGAAACATCTACTTGACAAACTAGATTTACTACTCTCCCAATTTCTTCAGAATACAGTTGATCCTTCTGGAAAGTTTTAGATGTGTGAAGAAAATCTTTAAAAATGTCTTTTGCAGGATTGGTGAGCCATAGTAGCTGTCTCAGGATTATGAAGGCAAGCTGGGCATTTTTACTTGGAAAATATTTTAAAGCAAGGATGCCTCTGCTGTGTACGCAGCTAATTGTTTCCCTCCACTCCAGAGCTCAGCTGTGAATGGCTTTATTTTTATTATACCAAACCCAAATATGGCTTGTTTTGTTTTGGTTTAGCATGTCATACAAATCTATCTC